TAGTAGAAACCCTGATTTTTCATGACATCAATCCAATACTTCAACATACACCTCGAAGGTGAATATAAGTCAAGGCAGAGTAGATAGATCGCTGAAAGAGAGAGTAGTTCTTCGAGGACCTAACGATCTTTCATTGGGCCTTTGCATGCGTAGAAAGTATTCAAAGCTCACCGTGTGCGTGCTGTCAGGCGCTTACATGCATTTTGCTACCAACTTTGGAGTTGCCAAATCGGCTTAACCTCCACATATTGTAACACTCCAATGTGCCAGAAAATTAACCCCATTTTCAAAATTTGACAATGTGTACTATAGCCGCTGGAGCTAATGAGTAGATGTCGACCATCGTCCCACTTTAACACGAAAAGAAAAGAAAATATTCTATCAACAAATGAGGTCTATTTATGGAGCAATTGTCAGATATTTTGGTTTCAGAGTGAGGCTTGAAGCACTACCAACCTCCTCCTTTTCTTTGAAAGATTATACCGCAAGTTTTTTCAGAATTTCAGTCATCGGAAAGTATTTATGTCGCAGTGAGGTATTCAAATCAGGCATTTAATAAAATGCCTAGGCATATGGTCAAGTTTTGATACTTTAAAAAGTTCCGTGTGTTTTTAACGCAAGCTTTCGACTTTCCAATATTTTGAGAGTAAGGATTCATCAATCTACGAACTGTATTCTTGTATTTTTCATTTCCAAATTCTCCTAATCAAATCTCAACTGTGAAAACTTTAAAAAAATTTATGGCACGCTTTAAAGTTGGAGATGAATGCCCATTTAAGGACTTAAAATTATTTATTTAAGTACCATTGAACGATGCAAACTTATACGGAGTATCCTTTCCTACACGAGCAAAGAATTATTTTGTCTAAAAGTAGGGAAAAGAAACGAAATTTCAAAGAGAGCAAGAATAATATTTAACTATTTTCTTAGGTATTTGACAAAATGCATTTATTAAAGAAAATAAATTTAGGTGTAACGCTTCAGCAAGTGGGATTGTGTGAATTTTTAATGGAAACAACAACTGATTACGATTAGATTCAACATCCAGAGAGTGTCGTAATTTATTCCAACGTGAGCCATGTTGCTCTCCCCTCCTTCCTCGCTCTTCGAATCAGTCAGTCAGGTTTTTCGCCCGAAAGTCGAACTCGTGAAAGAATACCAGACAGCTCGACCACAGTCACAAATCCTGAAATTATAACAGTGGTTTTTTCCTCTCGCTGCGCTCAACAGAAGCCGCGAAACTTCTCGGCGCAGATGTAAGCGCGGCAGTATATCTCAACCCAAAAGGGACATTTTTGTCTCCGGAACAGTTGAGCAACTTTTAATTCGAGTGTATGCCCCGACGGACCGTTGTCCCGAACACGAAACTTCCCGGGGCCCCGCGCATCGTGCGTCGCATGTTCAAATCCTTCAAACGTCGCTACTCTAACTTAAGGGCGTATCTCAATTTCCACTTGAGCCCCAGAAAGCATGGAGTTATACGGAGGACAGGGCTCACGTCGAAATTAAGATACGCTCTTACGTCGGAGGAGCGACGAAAAGTCAGCCCGCGGAAGTAATGTAATAACCGGAACCCCGTGGGGGAGGGGACGGTGATGGAGTTACATACAGCTCTGTTAAGCGAGGACCAACGAAATCCGACGTTGAGCGGTTTTCAGCGTAAGGGGCGCATAGATGGAGGAAGGGGGTATCCAAAATTGAGACTGAGGCGGGCTGTGAGTCCTCATCTTTGGTGACAGGATTCGAGGATTGCCGTTGACAGGAGGCCTTAAAGACGTATCTTTGTTGGTATTTCATTTGGACATGCAGCTTTTGTATCGGAAGACAAGACCGCGGAACGTTGCATAGTGGATCCAGTCAATTAGAGAGGTCGGACATGAAATTTTTGACCAAAACTGCAAATTTGGATGTTTATTTCGTCACATTTTAAACTTCAAGGGGTACTATTGGAAGACAATTTTACGAGGAAACCTATGAAACTACTTTCAGAACCTCAAATTTTTGTATGAACGGAGTTATAAGCGTTTAAAGTTTCCAAATCTTGTCCGACCTCTCCTATTGACTCGATCCACTGTGCGTTGGTTGGCGGAACGACGAAAATTGCTCGGCTCTGTGTTTGAAGAATTTTTGTTAGTGGTGCATGACAGTTTGAGTAAATTGAATCATTCTCTGAGAGTTGTCAGCGCGGGGCACGACCGCATTATGCGAAGAAATTGTCGCTCCGTTAATGAAACGTTGTGACTTCGATTTTACGTTAGTGGCGGGAAGTATATGTAAGTTCTGATTATTTGGAGTAAATTTTTTTTAAAAAAACTCGTTAACCCTTGCGAGAGGAATCCCTCCTTTTCCTCAAATTTTTTTTTAATGAGTTAAACCGCAGAAAGAGCTATAGTTGAAAATCCATCAGGGATTGGGCATATGGCCTGTCAGAGGCCAGAGTGGGTGGGAGGGGGATGCCTCAATCATATTCATTTATCAATACTTGTTTGCTCTTTCCAGTTGTTTTCATGAAAAGAAAGAAATTACACACTAAATATTTTATTCTTCCCTTACGTCGATTCCGTAGCAACTTCGCCGCCCGGAGACAAAAAGGGGAAATCCTTCTTGAAGACTAACGATTTCTGGAAAGGACCTCTGGCAGGTTGTTATTTTGCCAGTTAGCGACAGAACCCAAGAAGTTTTGCAGTTTTATCCACGACTGTGGGATGCGGCCTACGGTCGCTCTGATTGCGGCAGGAACTCAGAAATGTATTCGCATTGCGAGAGTATTTAACACTGCGCGTCATGTTTTATATTTCATCGCTAGCTTCCTTTATTTTCTTTTGTCGCGGAGAGTCCTCTTTAAAGTTTTCGATCCGGCCCACCGTCGCCGCGAACTTAATGATGCAGCCTTTATTCAATTCTAATGAAAGAGATCTTACGGTGCATCCGATGCTGCTCGCACAAAAGCCGTGTTTCTTAACACCTCCGGAAAAGAAAAGGCTGCACTCGTAATCTCGTCGGATATGCCACTCCAAAGCTCTGCGTTGGATTTTAACTACGAGCTAACACTTTTACACATTTTTAGTCGTAAAATGGAATGTAGACAGGAAATGATTTCATTTTTTAGGTATTCTCGGCCACTAATCTCTAATGTTGTAAACTTATAACGCAAAGGTTATTACCGCTGAATGTTCTGGTAAATTTCATTGTATCAGTTTTCTCGTTGCATTGTGTATTCTTTGCCACGTGCTCGGTTACACAAACTGAAGGTTGGGTTTGACGAACCAAATAGTTGAGATGATATAGGACACGATGTTCTCCTTCATTTTGAGGATACGCAATTTTATCTCCTCGGACGTCAATATATTTGTATTATGTGTTTCACCCCATCCAACTTTTCTACTCTGCTTCGAAGGCTCTAAGTCAGCCAGGAAGAGTTCACGCATTCCTTCATTTCGTGAATGTGCATTTACCTACTTTGAATTTGAAATAGTTGTATTATTACTAGTTTCACCCCATCCCATCCATCTACTCAGCGTCATAATATCTGAGTCAGAGAGGCAACCTCTTTTCCATTGTTGCGAAATTATTGGACGTATTTTATACTAAAAATAACCATGTGCATTGTAGGGTTTGCGTGTAACATATTACTTTTTGCATAACACGCTCTATCGTGACTGGATCTGTGAAATGGGACCTCATCTTCCGGAAGAAAATTTCCGGAACTTTGAACTTCGCGCGGAAAACTACGCGGAAAGCGCCTGCGAAACCATAGGTATACCTCAAGCATTGCACCGTCCTCCTGAGTACTCTATGGAATCTGATCGCTAGTCTCCCTCTCGGCTCTTGACTCACGAACCGCGCTAAGTTTCGAGATGCGCAAGCTTTATCACTTCAAGGCTTTCAATGTCAATTGAAAAATTAAGGAAGATCATACGAACTGCTGCCATTGGATAAATCAAAACTCAGTTCGGAGGGTATTTTGCTTAGGGTTTGCACCGGTTGGTTTCGTCCATCATATCCGATCGCAAAAATTCGCTCAATTTTTCGCCTCCGGTATCACTTCAATGCTTAATGTCTCCATTATTTTAATCACGATTCAACGACGAAGCTACGAGTCGAATAAAGGCTGAAAAATCACGTATTCAGAGAGCGCAGCGTTATTTCAGCTCGAAATTTTACACGCACGCAGCCGGGATTGGCGGCGTAGTAAAATGATCGACACAGATACGTAACCGACTCATGTCAGCTGCTCATGATCAGGGGCGGGGGAAGGGGGGTAATGGTATTTGGGAATAAGACTATTCCCCGCGCCTCCCTCCTCTCCAGGGGAGGCTCGCAACGTCGCACAGTGGATCGAGTCAATAAAAGAGGTCGGACAAAATTTGTAAACTTTAAACGCTTATAACTCCGATTTTACAAAACTTTGAGGTACTAAAAGCGATTTCATTGGTTTCTTCGTCAAATTCCCTTCTAGGAACACCCCTTAAACAGGGTGTTTACAAGTCTGGAATTTCCGGAATTAGTGCTGATTTTTTTAGGGCGTTCCAGAAGTACTGAAAAAGTGCGGAAATTCCGAAAGGAAGTCCGGAATTTTTTTCATAATTGTTGCAATTTGAGCAAGAATTCCAAATTTTTGAATTTTTCGAGATTCTTCGAATGGAGGTACTGAGAAAGTACTGAATTTGATGGGAATGCACTGAAATAGGACTGTAAAAGTACTGATTTTTGGCCAGCCTGTTTAGTAAGACACCCTGTTAAAATTTAAAATGTGACAAATTATACATAAAAATTTGCAGTTTTAGTCAAAAAATTAATGTCCAATCTCTGATTGACTCGATCCACTGTGCGTGGTTGCGATCAAAGAAATACTGACGGGGCGAAAATAAACCCCGCCAAAGCGTGCCACGAAATTCTAAGGGGATGAGAGGGGGGCCCGGGGGAGGGGGTGCTCCCTCCGCCCGCTGCGTTAGGCGCATAACAACTCGGCAAATGACATCTTTTTCTTGTGTTTTCAGATCACGTCCGGGAGTTCACCTGTGGTCGCATGTTTTACCGCACGCTTTTCCTCGATGAGAAGCGGGATACACTTTACGTCGGAGCCATGTAAGTATCCTTTCCCTCTTTTTCCTATCGTTCCGCCCCCGCTTGATAGAGATACCGCCGCGCCCCTAATTCCTATTGTTTCCCCGCGCTTTTTTTCTCCCTCTTTTTCAATTTGCCGCCTGTCACGTTCGGCTCGAGTCCGGCCGCGGCCGGGGATCCGAGCCGGAAGACCGTCCCCTGCATCTTTTATCGTCGAGGGTTTTGTTGCCGAATTTGGAATTTAGGAGCGAATCAAAGACTTGAAATCAATCTAAAAAAAGAAGATTTGTCCTAGTAATACGGGGTTAGTGATGCCTCGGTAAATCTTGAAGTAAACTAACTTAAATTCAAGGCGAAATAAAAGTTATAAAATAACAGAAATCGCACGCGAGAATGATTAATAGTAGTCTGTGAGTCAGTTTGGTTATGTAGTGCAGTGCCAGTCATGTTAGCCGAGTGGTCAGCGCGTCTGACCCCAGGTCAAGAGTTCTCGGGCTCGATTCTCGGAGGTGGCGACATATTTTCAGGGAACTGACGAGTTTACCTGCAGAAACAAATGCCACTTGGCCTTAAACCCTAAAATTTTATAGCTTTAGAGTCTGGCAGCGTAACCGGGCCTTGCTCGGTTTGAGAAAACCTAGTTGACATGAATTAATAGTAACGTGCCTACGAGTGCAGAAAATTTCAAAATGTGCGATTCAAAATATCTAAGCAGCACTTTAAGGAAAGGATTCCAGACCTTTCAATGTGCTTTTTGTTATTTTGAAATGTTAGGAAAGCTATTCATTTTTGTCATAATTTTTAGTGTGCGGAATAGATTCATTGCGCAGTCATAATTTACGAATCTAATATTTTTTTAAAATGAATGGTCTATCTTGTTTAAAATGCCGAGTGCAACTAGACGTCCTTTATTGCCACCAAACAGCACGAAGGTCCAAAATCTCAAGTGAGAGGCTTGGAGGACAAGGCGCATAGGTGCAGTTTTTGCTATTTCGAGAAATACGTGTTAAAAGTCTCGGAATTACAAGGAGCCTTGTGGCAAAAAGAAAGTTTAAACTCACTTTTTGATTTGTTAAAATTTCATTTTATTCGTGAATTTTTCGCAGAATGTTTTCAACCTAGTGAATGTTGTTTAATGTTTCAAACTAGTTTTAGTTGAGTTCATGAATATCTCAATTTTTACAAAAACTGCATTTATGCGCCTTGTCCTTAAAGCCCTTCAAATACTATATTCTAAAGCATGGCCTCCCAAGAAGAGTCCGGAATAAGCTTGATTCAAGAGCTGGGGGGAAAGCCTCGCCATTTAGATTACCTCGCAGATAACTAGTCGGTTTTAGGATTTCCGAGCTATGAGAGAAATTCGTATCCCTAAGTCGCCCGCGGGATTATTTGATGAGAGAAATCATTCTATTCCCGGCTGGAAATTAAATATGGAACTCATTTCCCAATAGGTTTTCAAGAGCAGCGTGCCTCGTTGGCTTGTGTTCATCTTCCACTGTCCCTCCCCTTATCCCTTTCTCTCTCCTCTGCCTCCTTTTATCGCTTTTATTTTTGAAAGATCCCGTCGAACAGAAAGTCGAGAGAGGGAGAGCTTGATCTCAAATTGTCTATTTGTCAGCTGTATAATTTATTTAACCTTTTCATCTTGAGCGTCTGAATTTTTCAGAGTTTTAATTGTCTTCCTTGGAGACGGAATTCCCAGACATCTTTCTTTAATTTATCTCGCTTTTCTTTTTCGAGATTTTTCGCTCTATTCATCTTTTGCGAAGAATTTAATACGTTAAGAACATTTCGTCCATTTTGCATGTTTTTCTTGAGGCAGGAGGTAAAAGCGAAAGTTGCCAAGTATTACCGTTTTCTTGATATTTTGTTTTCTTTAGTACTCATCTTCCGCAATCCAACCAAGATGCATTTATATGATTATCGTTGCCTCTGTGAAATTGTAAAAACGTCCCTTCCTTTCTTTGGAATTTTCAATTTTAAAAGTTTAACTAGAGAGACATGTTTCCGCTATCATATGCACTGAAAGAAAAACGAAGAGACCTACATTTTAAAGAATATTTTCAACCTAGAGAAGAAAAATTAAGTGTTATAATAATCTTTACACATAACTAGAGATAATGGAGTTGTGTGGTTTCCCAGTAATTGATTATTGATATTTTCCCATTTGAGGATATGGTAAAGTATCGATTATTAATGTGTTGGTTGCAAAAACCCTGTTTATCGATCCTTTTCCATAGATTTAAATGGCAGATCAATTGATATATCGCAATGCACGCCACGCCACTGGCATTCTTTTATCCGAAGAAAGAGCAGAGACTCGACCAATAATAGAGATCGAAAGCTCCCCCTTGGGTGATTAGCACCCATTTTATTACTCTCAAATCACCTCAACAGCATCGAAGCAGCAAAAAAAAGAAAGAAATAATTAAAGCGAACGAGCAAATTAGGCTTTTGANGAATTCCCAGACATCTTTCTTTAATTTATCTCGCTTTTCTTTTTCGAGATTTTTCGCTCTATTCATCTTTTGCGAAGAATTTAATACGTTAAGAACATTTCGTCCATTTTGCATGCTTTTCTTGAGGCAGGAGGTAAAAGCGAAAGTTGCCAAGTATTACTGTTTTCTTGATATTATGTTTTCTTTAGTACTCATCTTCCGCAATCCAACCAAGATGCATTTATTATATTATCGTCGCCTCTGTGAAATTTTAAAAACGTCCCTTCCTTTCTTTGGAATTTTCAATTTTGAAAGTTTAACTAGAGAGGCATGTTTACGCTATCATATCCATTGAAAGAAAAACGAAGAAACCTACATTTTAAAGAGTATTTTAAACCCAGAGAAGAAAAATTAAGACACTTTTTAAGAATTGATGAAAAGGTTTTCATGTATGAAAGAAAATTACCACTTGTCGAAAACAATTAGCAGAATAGGGCAGAGGTTAAGGTGAATCTAGAGCGGGAGTAAGCTAACATCGAGAAACTGATCTAATTTCGCCGAATGACAGGTTACACTTTAAGTGTTAATCAGAAAACGGATCGGAGCTCTCTTCAGCTGTTTATTCCTACAAAATATATTTTGTAAAACCTAAATTAAAGCTAATAGCCCCCGAAAGCGCAAAATAACTGTTCGATTTAACTAATCAAAGTCAATAGTTCGCGGTTGAATGCTCTCATGCAGTTTTATTTCAGGATCTTCAATTTTTTCGGGGAGATAAACAGGTGGAACGTGCCTCTAAGCCAGTTATTTAGCGAACCTCATCCAATATTCTTACTTCTCGTTCACTCACTGTGTAGATTTGCCTTAATAAAAAGAAAGAAATTGGATGGAAACTCGGTTTTATACAAGCATCTATTTGTATCCAAATCTCCATAAATAATCAATCACTGATGGATCTCTTAAATCTATCAAAAAGGTAATGGTAATGTAGTTCCTAAACGATTATTTCTCCAATCTTTCGGCAATAAATCTCTACACATAACTAGAGATTGATGGAGTTGTGTGTTTTTCCAGAAATTCGAATCTCCGTCCGATTAAGCTCATCGTTCATGAAATTCAATCGAGTATTCTGCAGTGGCGAGACATGAATGGTAGATTATCGATTTTGTCCCATTTGGAGCTATGGTAAAGTATCGATTATTAATGTGTTGGTTGCGAACACACCGTTTACAGACCCTATTCCATAGGTTTAAATGGCAGATCCATCGGTATATCGCAAATCACGCCACGCCACTGGCATTCTAATATCGATAGAAAGAACAGAGCCTCGACCGATAATAGAGATCGAGAGCTTCCCCTTGGGTGATTAGCACCCATTTTATTACTCTCAAATCACCTCAACAGCATCGAAGCAGCAGAAAAAAAGAAAGAAATAATTAAAGCGAACGAGCAAATTAGGCTTTTGAGAAAAGTTGAAGGAGGCAAAGGAGAGAAAATAACAGTAATTACGGAACAATTGCCGCGACTCCGCAAGTCGACCGCGGAAATTAAGTAATTAAATGCATTTGAATAAATAACCCCGCAAAACGGGAGCGATCCAAATCCAGAAACGGGAAGTCGGGAGTCAGGAGCGAATCGGGATCTCGGGGGCGGGGGTGGGGGTGGGGGCGAAATCGTGACTCTTTCGCGTGCCCTGCCTACCTCGCCAGAAGTTTCCCGACGGGAAACTGCTCCGGCCCGCGGTTGCCAAAGTCGAGGAATACCGCGGGAAAGCAGGAACTTTTCAAAGAACCACGAAAAATTCGGGGACCTGTCCTTGCAGCACAGGTAAAAAGCAAAAGGATGCTACCAATTAAAGTGTTTGAACGACGTTTGGTAATATTCACAGGGTTCGAAATGCTTACAATAACATTACGTACAAAAAACCTAGCGAGATGTCTAGCAGCGTAGTCAATATCGCGAGTTTTTCTGGCACCATGGAAAATCTGCAGAAACGTGATGGCATCTGTGAAAAAATTGTTGATTATGGAATTTTTCCGTGAAAGCATTAAGTTGTGCCTTCATTATTGGAATGGGAAAAATTTGGAATTCTCTACCTTTGCCTTTCCAAAAACTTGGAAATATCATTGAATTTTCTCAATTTAGCCATGGAATCATATTGGATTAACACCGATTTTTCTTCTTTTTTTTGAAAAATTCCAGACACCGTGGACAGGGGCTTAACAACACGTATAATAAAATAATACACTAGACTGCATCGTGTAAATAGAGAGTTCTGATAAGTTGTGATAACAAAAAGTCAAATTACCGCTGCTTCGATGGTTACTTCTGTGTTTCCCGTCATCATGTAGTCATAGAAAAAATTGAAGGAAAACTCGATGATAGTGAGTTTTAGAAAATAATTTAAAGCCTGAAATGTACTTTTCATCGGGTCTTCGCTTTCGGTAAACCATCAATTCTCGATACCTCAAGAAAAGTTCCAAAATTTCCCCCGGCCGAGTGGTGTGGCATCCCTGGAGCTGGATTTCTCCCGCCTGATTCTCTTTCTTTCCCGAAAATGAACCAAGAATGGCTCCAGTGCAC